TTCAATTTATAATAAGATATTTTGATTGATTCCTAATCTAATCTGTTGGCACAATTAACTTAATGATGATCAGAATTTATTTTCAGTTGAAGAAGAAGAAAAAAGAAAAGTTCTGATCATGAGGTTTTCATTGAGATGTTTGATTGTTTCACCAATTATGTAATGATAATAATGTTATCTTATATTACTGATCATGTCATGAAAAACAATGACAGTTGTAACTTTTCATGGCGATCATGATAAATGATGAACAATTGAAACCAGATTTTTGAGAGAGAGAGAGAAAGAAGATGAAAACAAAAAAAAAAGTTCTGAATCAATGGTAACCCAATCATCATCAATAATAATAATCAACAACAACAACAAGTGGAAACCAGTTTATTTTTTGTTCATTCCAAATGATTGACTTGATTGTTACCATGCAGTTTGAACTGAGAATGAAAGTTCTGAAAGTTCAGATGTATTCAGATTATGTTTACTCCTTTCAGAAGCAACGAAAATTCAAAACAAAGTAGAAGAAGAAAAATAACAATAATAATAACCAGTTTCAGGTTGAATTTCAGTAAAAGAGATTGAGTAAAATTCATATCCCCCTGAAGATTTTTATAAAATGAAGCAAGAAAAAAAAACAATAGAAAACAGAAGACAGAAAACAAAATTCACCGAGATAATAATAATAATAGATGATGTTTGTTACCATGATAATTTTTCCCCTGTTTCATGATAATGAAAATTGAAAGAGGAAAAAAATTTGATTACAAATTGCAATTTTCTCTCTCTTTTTTTTTATTCATTTGCAATCACAAAATTGTCACATTAGTGAAAGCAAAACAACATCCTCATGTTGAACGATTTGCAAACATGATGAATTTTTTTCTGGTACTTAATCATCACCCTGTAAAAACCGATATATAAATACAATCATGTGAGGTTTCAAGTTACCTGGAGCATTATTGATCATTCAGTTAGTCTGAAGGATAATGAAAACCAGGGTAACTTTGAAAATTGTGTAAAGTCTTATGATGATGATTGGTTAACATGCAATGATTATGGTAACTTTTTGATTTGTTTTTCTCGAGTTTAAAATTAAATCCAAACAATTAACTGATGCGTGTATTAAACCAGTTACAACGACCTGAGAATAAGTTTCAGTCTGAAGAGAAAAAATCAAAATGTAAACAATCATTATCATTCAGGCTCATAATTTATTATTTTTAACCTTGAAAAATATACTCACTTTGTCATCCCCATCTTCATCATCATCATCATCCTCATCATCATCAATATACTGAAGCTTAACCCGTCATAACAAATAGCTAATGATACAGATAATAATAATCACTATCTACCTGAGATACGATTAACTAATAATAACTTTTTTTTTCCTAATCAATTCAGTTGGTTAATCCCATGATCTTCATATCGGTTATTAATTTATCATGATAAGTGTTAATTAGTTTGGGTTATCATTGATTAACCATCACAATTTAATACTATGTTTACCTTTTTGTTTTTTACTCAATTGAATAGGTTAATTAAAGTTGTTGTTTTGTTTTTGCTAATCGTTTACCAATGGTATTACTAACAATCAATGTTTATTATCATCTAATTATCATTATAATTGATTCATTACTATTGATTAACATTATTTGATTGAATGTTAATTGTATGTTGGCCTTGCAGTTTGTGTGTAATAATTGTTTACATCTTAATGGGATTAACTAATATATAATGTATTTGATTATCGCAATGATGATGATCAACAGTAAAGGGATTAAGTTAAATAAATTTCCTGATAGTTGATCCTTGATGATCAAGTAAAAGTAAGATTATCATGATGATTATTTCCGGTTCATAGATATGAACATGATTAAATGTATATAATGAAGGATATCTTGTTGACCTATTAAACTTAAGGATGAAGATGATTAAGTAATTCATATCTTTTTTTATGTTCATTCATGATGATTATCAAATTAATCTAATTGTATTATTGAATATGGAGAGTTGTGATTTTTTTTGTAAGGTTGTTTTTTCCCTCATCTTTTTTTTTATTTACCTGGTAAGATGATGATAAGAGTTGAATGAATAAGATGATGATGATGATGATGATGACATTGGGGATAGCTAAAGAAACGAGAAAAGAAAAAGTTGAAAGATATTAATAATAATAAATGATGTTAATGTTTCCATGATGATGATTCAGATTCAGGGATGAACTTTTTTATTTCATTGCTCTTTTTTGCTTGGACTTGCCCTTTTCACATTTGAATCTTGTTCTTACTCAAATTTTACCTTATTTTTCACCTTGAAAAGGTATTTTGTTTACTATCATAAAAAGATCTTGGGTCAAGGCCTCAAATAGCCACTAACCAGTCTTTCCAAGGACAAGTTAGTCTATGAACTTTTCAAATTCATCTCTCTCTCTCTCTCTCTCTCTCTCTCTCTCTCTCTCTCTCTCTCTCATTTACCTTAAATTCAACGTGGCAAGAGTGATGTTGAAATTGATTGTATGTTTACAAGATTAAATTAAGCTTGAAAACGAGTGGATTTTGTTTTCCATTACCTTTAAATGTTTACCTGTTTTGATGATTCTGAGCAAAAAAAATAAGACTTGAGGTTAACAGGTAACCAACCCTGTAACTGATGATGATATTTACTTATTTTTTGACACCATGGAGAGTGAAAGAGGAGGTAAGTGGGTTGAGGGTGAAATAGGTGAAATATCAAAGTGTAAAAATAGATTAAATTGGCAAAGGAAATTAAAGCTCGAAACCAATTGAGAAGATTAAATTTAATATTACAATTGATTAACTTTGAAACTTTGTTTATTTAAAATTGATTAGAGATTTTAATTTATAAATCAATAGATAGTAAGCATTTTAACTGGAGCAAAATTAAGAGTTAATCAACTGAATCAACTTGAATATGATGATTCATGGGAATTGGATAAAGTTAATTACTTGATTGATTGGATCGTAAAATTGACTGATTAATTGATCATGAGACATAAATATTCATATTTTTCTCCAATTAGCTAATCATGAATATATCAATTGCAATTTCAAATGAATCGATACCAATTGATGTTAATTAATTGTTGATGTTGTTATTGTCCAGTCAAAGGCCGATGTTAAACTGACCAAGAAGTTTTTTGTTAACTAATTCTGAATAAATCATTGGAACTGCTGATTAAGATGATGGAAGATCATCAAGAACCATGACAAGGTTGACAGAGAGGGATTTTCATCATGTTCAATTCATGGGAGTGAAAGAGATGAAGATTACTGAGGAAAAAGATTAAGGAGTAAATAAGAATGTTAAAGAAAAAAAAATCTAAAGAAAAAGATGATAAATAACAAAATGATGAAGAAGAAGATGATGATGATGATGAAAGAGAAGAATATCTTTCATCTTCGTTATTATCATCTTCTTTTTCTTTTGGATGTGAAAATATTTCGTCTTGTTTTCGTTTCTCTAGTATTATCGTGATAATGAAAATGAAAGAACGAACTTTTTTTTTCTTCTATTCTTTTTGAACTTTCGTTTTCTTTTAAAAATGATAATATCAGTTATCATTTCTTCATAGAGTGGGACATTATAAGTGGTGATGATAAGGTGGAAGTAGATGAGATTCACGTGAAATGATATGAATCCTCATGAAAGGAGAAGATGAGAAAGAGTAAGTTGAGCTCATGGTAACTCTTCATTACTATGAACTATCAGTGCGAACCTAAGTAAGTGTGTTTAAGCTGTGGAAGTGATAATGATTTGTTTGTGAGAGAGATGGTGATGACTGAGGGAGAAAGTTAAGAAGTTGATTGATTTTGATGTTACATTATAGTTTACAAGATGTTAAGAAGATGAATAAAGATGAAGAATAAAAAAATCGACAGAAAGATGAAACTGGACATTGGAGAATGAAAGATGATGAAAGTAATATAACGATGTAAAGAACGAAAATGAAACGATAGCAAATAAGGAAAATGACAAAGAAGAAGAAGAAGAAGAAGAAGAAGAAGAAGAAGAAGAAGAAGAAGAAGAAGAAGATGATGATGATGGTGAGAGAGCAAATGAAAGATATATGGTTAGAACGACAGAGAAGATTATATTGGAAAAGATGATGAGGATGCTGACGAATGGTGATGATTCTCTTTCAATCTACGTTTACTTTTTTTCTTCTTCCTCTCCTTTCAATCTCTTTCTCTTCCTCATCCTTTTTCTTCCTCATCATCATCATCTTCCTTTCATTTTCTGGATTCCTCTTCTCTCTCTCTATCTCTCTCTCTCTCACCTAAAGTATTATCATTATTGTTATTATCGATTTTGGATTCAGTCAAGTCTATTATTTTCAATCAAGTAACAGCATTAATCACAGATTGATGTTGATGTAAATTTTTTTGGCTTTGTAGTTTTAACCATGATGATGATACTGATGAGGATGCTGATATCGATTACATTAATAGAAAATGATGATGAAGAAGATGCTATTTTATAATTGAACTCATCAACCAATGAACAAATTGATTCGAGGAAAAAAAAAACTTCCATTCCTAAATTCAAGGTGTTAATCAGAATCAATCAAAGTGTTTCACCAACACTCACAATCTACACTCACTCAAATCTTATTATCATCACAATATTCATTAGTTTAATCAGCTCGAAATCCATGAAGTATCCAAACTCGATCGATGATTATAAACGTAAGGTAATTACAAGTCGAAAAGTTTATTCAACTAGAAAAGTTTTCGTGATAATGAATTTCTTGCTTGTGATCATTTGACAATTAAGATTGATCAGGATCAAACTAATTGTCTTAATTACCAACAATTAGTTGGAAGAAAAAAAAACCGATGAAAAAGTTTTTCCCCAAAATAGTGTAAAAAATGATATTTACCGTTAATTCATATAAGATTAATATGTGTGGATTTTGTGATTCATTTTGATGGTTAATTGTTACGAGATGGGAATTGATTAGGAGTTTAAGTAAATCAACTTACCTTGTTCATTGTAACCTTGTTTACATTTACAGATTCCTGATTGATTATTTGAAATTGGTGGATTAATACGGTCACATGTAGCATGGGGAACAAAACATTGAGCTGAGTGTTCACAATGTTCACCATTATGTTTCAATTTGTAGCAAAATTTGGATACATATTGAGATGAGGATGATAATGATGAAGGTGAACCTAAAGATGGTGATGGTGAGAGAGATGATGACGATGATAAATCCATGTAACTTGATGTAACTAGATCAACAATTATATAGCCCTGATTACATCCACAGAGACCTTGTTTCACCATGCAACGAGTTTTAGTTGAAATACATTCAGAATCATCTGAACAAGAATCACGGATTACATGATTAGGTAATGAATCAGTTGATGATCTTTTACTGATTAATCGTGTTGACGACAATTTAGTTGATTGATTGGTTTTATTAGTTTTCTTGTTTCTGTTTGTTTGTTGATAATTTTCAGTTAACATTGTTGAACTTGGTGAAGATGAGGATAAGGTTGAGGTTGAAGTAGAGGTTGATAAAGATATTGAATTAAGATTATTATTATTATTTAAAGTTTTACCTACTAAATGATCAACATTATTATTAATATGATTAAAATTGATTAAATTTGAATGAGTTATTGTTGAACTTGGAGTATTTCCTAATAATAGATGAGGTTTCCATTGAAAATCTGATGATGACGATAATGATGATGAGTAAAATGAATAACGGTATTTATTATCATTACTATTAACTTGATCATTTAAATTGTGTAAGCCATTAATCCCATTATGTTTGGCTTCATTCAATGTTGTTAAAGTTGTTACCATTAAGATAACATTACAGATGATATTATATGATGACATTGATGATAATGATGATGACGAGGATGAGGATGAGGATGAGGATGAGGATGATATGGTGATCATTGTTGATTTTCAATTGTAAGGACGGTGTAACAATTTGAATGAAACCATTAGGATTAGTTGATCAACTAAATCAGCAACAATTTCATCACTAATCTTATTTCACTTTCATCAATGATTCAATTAGTTAATTGTTACTAATTGGAATTGAAATTGTTGGGATTTTGTTAACTGGGAGTGATTTTTTTTTCAATTGATAACAACAAATTTGAAACTTTATATTTAACTTGAATTCTGATTAATTTGATGATTTAGTGTTAATTATTATTTGGTTAACTGGTTCAAAATTGTGATGGTTTAATATAATTATGATTTAATTTGATTTGATTTTTGTTTAATTGTATTAAGTTAATAAGGCGAAATTAAAAGGAAATTAAAGTTTTAGTTTTAGTTTTAGATGGAAAGAGAAATTTTTTTGTTCGTGCAACAATTAACAATTTGTTCAGTTGATTGATTGTAATTTGATTTAACTGTTGGGTGAAACTTTAATAAGCTTTAATTGTGTAAGATTAGATTGTGAGTTGATGAATATTAGAACTGGTCACATAAAGATATTATTGTTATATTATCATCATGGAAACAGGAAGAATCCTTTTTCATGGTAACATGATGATGAAGACACATGAGGAAGTTAAATTCACACAATTTAACACAAGAATGTTATTCACAAGAAGATGATGAGGATGCTAAATGATTCTGAATGAGCTACTAAAGGATGATGAGGATAGAAACTTTGATATTGGCAAGAAGAGGGAAATTTTCCTCTTTCTTTGCTATTTTATATCAGAGATGATGAATATTTGAAAGACGATAAAGGTAAAGTTTGTTTTTGATATTCGGTGGATGAGAAGATGATGGGAAGATGAAGAGAGTGAGAGGAAAAAGTAGATGAAAATGTTTGAGAAGTTGAGGTTAAGTTTTAAAGTTAGAAGAAGATGAGGGAAGAAGAATAGAGATGAGGATGGAGGATGAAGATGAATGAAGGTTCATAAATCGAAAGCTTCTACTGGTATGGAACATACATTTTCATGAGACAAGAATCAGAATTCGGGAGAGAAAGAGAGAGTGGAAGTGGGAGGTTGGAAGACGAGAAAGAAAGAGGAAATGAAAGAAAGGTGGAAGAGTAAAGTGTAAGGCGCAAGAATTTTCGAATTTTACCTTAAGAGGTTGCGCTTTTTTCCTCATAACCATTGAAAGAACATTTCTCTCTCTCTCTCTCTCTCTCTCTCTCTCTCTCTCTCTCTCTTCTTTCGAATTGTCGAAATCAAAACTTTCGAGAAAGAGGAAGAGAAAAAAATTGTTTACAATTTCAATGATGAGAGATGAAGATAATTCTGATTTGGGTGTTGATGATGACGATGAACATAATGATGATGACAACACAATTGAATGATGATAATGATGATTGAACCACAAAAGAGGTAAAGGTTACTCTCTCTCTCAAAGTGTTATTATGGTTTTATTGAAATTTATTATTATTATCATTGTTTATCCATGGAAAGAAATAGCAGTCAAAAAAAGAGCCCAGAAAATCTTGACCATTTGAATGGTCATTGAACATTGGAAAATCCTGGTCAGTCCTTTTTTTTTAATGTCCTTTTATTACATTTGAAAGCCTTTGTATACAGATGAATGATAATGATCATCTGGATGATGATCATCATTCTAATGGTTATCATTATACTAATTATTTTCCATCGACTGTAAACATAAAGGTAACAGTAGAAGGTAATAAATTATCTTGATCCATTTTCGTCTTCGAGCTTACAGCGCCACCTTAGAACAAAAAAGTTTCTTTCTTTTCATGTTCGATTCGAGGTAAACATAAAAAGTGATCACGATACTTTTATCACGTATACACTTTTCTCTTTCTTTTCTCTTTTTCTCTTCTCGATTCTGTTTAAGGTCAATAAACATACAGACAATTTACCTTAATTGTACTCAACCGATCAACATAAACGATTGAACCTTAATGATTACGGATCAATTATTTCAGTAAATTCATTGAGAGAAAATTTTTATCTCATAATCTTTTGTATCAAAAATCATATCAAAGTTTCCTACTCATTAACTAACAATCAATTTCTCAATAAGATTCATACTTATTAATATAAACCAATAATGTTGCCGGTTTCAGATTAGATTATCACTAATCTCTTATTTATGTATTTCTGGTTTTAGGTTAGATGAGGTTTTTGGTTTTCTTGTTGATTGTTGACAAAAATACTTTTCATTTGTTTAGTTACATTGTTTTCCGTGTATCGATACAATTGATCAACAATCAACGAGGTTAATCAAATGGAAAACATCGTTACCATTTGATCACTGGTTGAGTTTTTGACATGTCACATGAGATTATCATCATTGATTCAACTGATGATGACTATCAACAAGCCCAAAAAATAATCGGCAGATAATTAATCATGTGAACTTTTTCCCTTTCTCAGTCTCTCTCTCTCTTTCTCTCTTTGTTTATATTTGCCAATGGCAAATTGCCATTGTTACTCTTTCAAGGCTATGTGAGTCTTTTACCACCTCTTCTCCTTCATCATCTGTGTAATCATCAGATGATGATTAGGGTTAGATGATGACGATTAGTAAACCAATAGAAATAGAAAAGATAAATCAAAATCTAACATTTTCCTGGTTTCGACTTCATGGTAACAGTTGAGAAAAAGAGAAGAAGAGAAAAAGAAAGAAAGAGAAAGTGAAAAGAAAAACATTAAGATTATTTTTGTTTTTTTCTTCTTCTTTTCCTTAATTCAATTTACTCATAAACTACAATTACACTCATCACTTTAATTGTTGATCCACTTATGATTATTGTTAGCCGTTAATTTGTTTCTCTTTTCTTCCAATAGTTAAATTGTTTATTAACATTTTGTCAAAAAAAGAAACAAAAACAATAACAAACTCTTGGTTTTCTATTCTGAGCAAACTCAGTTGTTTCTTCTCTTTCTTTTCTCTTTCTCCCTGTTAGGTAACCGAAAGAAAGAGAAAAACAAAATGGAAAAGCTTGTAAACAAGTCTTTCTTTTCTTCTCTGTCTTCCTCTGTCTTCTTTTTTTTCTTCTCCTCGCTCACTCTTTTTATTTCCCTCTTCTTATTATCTTCCTATTCTCCCTCAGTTCATCACGTAGAACTTGTTTCTCTTTCTCTCTCTTATTCTCTCTTAATACTTTCTCTTTAAAATCTCTTTTCATTTAGTTAAACATTCACAGTTAACAACAACAATAACAACACCGACAATTAATATAAACTGTGTTTACCTAATTGTTAATCAATTGATCTTCTTCTAATTTCAATAATCACCAATCTCTCATCTTTTTCTCAATAATAATTATCATCATGGAAGACGATATATTCAAAATTATCCAAGATGCAAGTGGCCCAAGGACTATTGAAAGGCGAACCTCTTTAACCTCGAAAATTCTTGGTAAGCGTTAATTGTAAAGTATGTTTCGTTTAAAAACGACAAAGGTAAACAAACTAATCAGTTACTTAACTAAAGATGATAAAAATGAAGGTTATGATAGGGAAAAGGTCAACACTCTGCCTTTGATCTCTGTTGTTTTTCATTTTCACCTTCAATTTTATTATCTTTTACTTAATCATCATTGATATCATTTTTTTAGGTAGATTGAGGCATTGATAAGTTTGTTTACTTTGGTCGTTTTTAAACGAAACACCCTTTAATTGTGTTACCATTAATTGTCCTCGACGATAGTTAATCATTCTAATACAGTCGATCAAATCAATGTTAAATTTGAATCTCTTGATTATCTAATCATTGATAAGTTGTTGTTTTCACTTTTTCTGTGCAAATAATTTTAAAATACCGTCAAACTCAATTTCTCCGACTGTATATGATTGGTGTTTGTTGACAATTTCGCCATTTTATTTGGTTGTAAAGGGTGTCAACAATAAAACGAATTGAGCTCTAAAATCCAACTAAATTCAATTGGTTTTAGATAATTGTAGTCTATACAAATTAATCAATAAAAAGACAATCAGATATTAATCAGGATATTCAGTGGCCGATTTGTTTAGATAACAATTATCAAAAACCAATTGAATTTAGTTGGATTGGATTTAGAGCTCAATTCGTTTTATTGTTGACACCCGTTATTTCTCTCTCTCTCTCTCTCTCTCTCTCTCTTGCCTCCATTATTGTTTGATTCAATTTTCTTTTTATTTCTTTTTTTAGGTAATGCTAAAGATTGGATCAATCAATCAATCGTCGTTAATCGTCGATACTCTGAATCTCAAAGCGAGGATGGTTATGCTCGTAGTTTCTCATCTTCCCAGGGAGACCATTTTGAAGGTCTGGGTGATTTAATTTTCCGTAAAAGGAGTCAATCAATTACCGGAGAAAATCCAGTTAAAGCGGAAGCTAATAATTCCAATAAATTTCATTTAAATTGTGACATTTAATTACTCTGTTCTCTCACCATTTACTCGAAACGTTACGCAAAATTTTTATAAATTACTAGATACCGAAGCTAGTCGATCAGCTAGTCAGTCAGTCAGTCGATCAGCAAGCAACTCGGCTGACTGAAGTTAGTCGATTTTGAGTCGACTTAAATGCAAAATTAACTTGAATTTCGAGTCATATCGTCCATTCAAAAATCAAGTGTACCAACTAATAAATTTTCTGGTTTTAAATTTAGTATAAAAAGTTTTAATTAGCCCCAGAGAAAGGTGAAAATGTAGTTTTCAAAGAGAAATCTTTTAGAAAGGCTTACGCCAAACTTTTTTTCTGTTTGAATTCCATTAATTTCTTAAGTTTTAATGACAAGTGAGTCGACTAGTGAGTCGATAAAGCACCGACTTCGACTAAGTCGAAGAGTCGACTTACAGCCAAGTGAGTCGAAAAAACTCGCGAGTCAGTCAGTCGTCAGTGTTTCGACTAACTTCGGTATCTATAAATTACATTCCTGTTCTCGCAATTGGGTTTTCACCGTCGCCATCTATTGGCTTGAAGCTTTTTCTATGTAAAAAATGAAAAAACTAGATGGCGACTCTGTTGATTGCGTAAAAACATGGGCAAATTTTTTATCGCTCCTGATAAACTCTAATTTAATTAACTTTACCTGTGAATTTCAAATTTAATTTCATGTTATTATTGTTTATCTTGTTACACGGATCAAGTTGGTACCAAAATCACGATAGTTCAACAGTTACTTGAGTTGTTTTTTGTTACTCTTAAAACTGACTCTTGTTGCGTCGTAATAACTTCAACCATTTTTGTTCTCTTGGTAAATTTTGTAATTTGATACAACTTTCTTTTCTCTAACTCAAACTCATACTTTAAATTTTATACTTTAAATACAATTAAACAAATTGATTAAAATTACCTCACATTTATAATCAAAATAATTGTTTTCACATTTTAAAAGATTGAAATTCTAATTTTATTTTCTCCTTTTCTTCGTATCATACCTAATGGGTTAAATTATTACTTTTTGGACCTCATCTTCACTTTCATTTCAACACTTGGTACTTATTTACAATCATCAAATTGGACCTTTGGACAATCAAACTAACCACCAGTCAATTAATATAATTTGTAAATTTTCTTTTGTTTTAGCCTAATAATTTGTAAATCAAATCTATTGCAATTTGCCTCCCTGTTGTCTGAAAAACTTTCCTCCACAGGACTACAGTACATACCCTGTAGCTTAAATGTTAACTCATTGCACTAAGGTGCCCTCAATAAAACGAGCACATTAAAATTTGCGCTAAATGAGAACAGGAGTGTACTTTCTTTTGCATTCAATAGATGGCGACATAGTTGTCGAAAGTTTCAAGTTGCAATAGTTAATTGTTGTTGATTAAAAGTTACAATTGAATAAATTGAATTGGTGATAGCAAAATTTTCTGAGATTAGAAAGTAAAAGAGTCAGAAATTACAGAATTATTTTATTTGATGATTGATTGTTTCTAATACAAAATTTGTGTTACAATTTTAGATAAGCTCGTTAACAGATTTAATTTAAATTTAGTTATTAATTTAAACTTTTGAACAATTAAGGTAATTGGATCACTTTTATCGTTGATTATGGATGATAATTGTGGTCATGTGTATATGGGACAATCTTGTAGGACATAAACTGGTTCAGCGTATTTAAGGCAATCACTTGAGTTTGAAAGTCTAATTGTAAAATAAGAATCAAAATATTAATTAGTTAATTGTTTGAGAGAATTTTACAAAATTAATTCTTACCCTGAATACTCAAGACATTGACTTTGGGGAAAAGTTTCTCGGAAACATCTAAATTTAATTATGTTAAAGTAAATTACTCCAAATAGAGATGCACCAATATCTGATTTAGATGCCTCTTTTAAGCAGGTTGCTAATTGTTGATCACAATCACAATGTGATCTAAATTAAAGGTAAAACAAAATTAAATCAATCAATTGAATCACAAAGGGATCCTAAGGGGATTATTAAGGTGAATCCTTAATCCATTTTTATAAACAATCAAATTAAATTCATAAAAGTAACCAAGGTAATAGAGATATTAAAATTATCTAATAATTGTTACGATGTTACTGATTGTCAGTTGATTAACTTGTTTAACCTTGAGAAAAATTTAAAGGTTATTAGTTTCCTGGTTACAATTATTATACAAAGTGTAACAATTAACCTTTAATTTGCACCTGGAACTAAATGATAACAATGATAATAAAATGCAACAATTAGACTACGAGAAAAACTTTAATAGATTGGAAGTGAGAGTTTGTTTTGATTGAAATAACTTATGATTAATAACTGAATCAAAGTTAATTAACTTACATGGTGTAGGTGTGTAATTGGTTAGATTATAATTTGATTCACCGGCATTAATGGACATTGGACAATAATCGTGATCTCGACAACATTTATCGGTCTCAACGGATGAACCTAAATCATCATAGCTCAACGATCGGTTACCTGGGCCACACCATTTGGTTCCTGGGGCGATGAACATTTCACTTGGAATGCCAAAGATTGAAAATGCTCGAGGTTTGACCAATAAGCTCAATGGAGATTGAGTTGTCGTGGTTGTGGTCGAGGTTGTAGTGGTCAGTCCAACAGAGACACAACTACGAGCCAACGAATCAAATGTATCGACATTTTTAATTGTCTTGATTATATTTTTCACATCTACAGTTGTTGATTTTAAAATTTCCGAAACAATTTTCGGATGGTTAACTAAATTACAATCAACAATTGATTGGGTTAAATCAGCTGATTCAGTTGATTTAAATGTACCATAAATAATTGACGAAGGTCTCTCTTGATTAATATAAATTACTTTATACTCGTCACAATTAATTGGCACAATTAATGATGACCAAAGGATATTTAAACTAATCAACAATAAAGATGAAAATTTAATCATTTTCTTTGATTACTTTTAATACAATCAAAACTAATTGTATTTGTACACAATTGAATTAACAAAATCACACTGAGCCGATTGTTTAGTTAATTGTCACCTTTTTATCCAAATCAACAATCAATTGTTACAATTAATATTCCGTTATAATTATCAACATTGTCATCACCTTAGTCGATAATTGATCAATTAAATTGATTGTAAACAATTAACCATTTTAATCAGTTTGTTTTAATTAAATTTTCCATCTTGACTAACTCCCTTTTCCCTGAAATAATTAATAATTAACAATCAACAATTAAATGATAGACACACACACACACACACAAACATAGATACAAATATAAAACAATTAACTGATTAATTTGATTATGATTATTATTGATATTTACTAATGATTTTCAAAACATTAATTAAACTTGTAAATCAATGAAACAATTAACACACTGGAAAAAAACTCAATGAACATTAAATTAAATCGTGATTAGCTGATTGTTTTTGTAATACTTTAATTGTGATTATTTTAATTGTTGAAATTTCAACAATTCACCAATGTTAATCATTGTCAATCAAACATAATGTAAATTATTGTTATAATTATCATCACAATTAAAGGTGTGTCCTTGATTATTATAATAATATGATCACAATCAACTCCACCCAATCAGTTAATTGTAATAATATATAAATTATCATTTTGTAGTTTGATATTTAAATTGATTTAATTGTTTACCGATAAGATTATCAACTAATTAGGATTAGGAACAAAACAAAATCTACAATAAATTAATCATTCAATCAGATTAATCGGATTACTTATTGTTTGATAATCTCAATTTTAATTCTCATTTGATTGTTGATCATTTACTGAATTGATTTAGTTTGTTTTCCAATTGAATGATAAAATTTGAATTGGTAAATAATAATAATTAACAGGAGGAAGTTAATTTAGTTTGATGATTTATTTAATTGTAGAAATATATTCAATCATTAACATGACACAAATATCATTGTAATCAAATTACAATTGTTAATAATCAAAGTCAATTTAACCTTGATAATTAACAATAATCAATTGTTCCGGTTAATTGGTAAACTTGTTATCTTAATTGTTTTATAACAATCTAACTAATCTAAATCTGTGAAAACAGCAATTTAAGGGAAATGGACAATTAATCATTTGATAATCAAGTTTACAATTAGCCTTAATTGCCAAGTTAAATTATTATACTTATTAACCTTGAACTTGATTAAACTTTTAATTGAACTTAGTCTGTGGTAACAATTAGTATCATCATTACAATTAATTAAAATCTCTAAGCAATTAACTAATAGATTAATCATTCATTGGAAAGGTAAATATTTATCATTTAATTGTTAATTTAACTTTGTTCATATTTGATTGTAATTCAATTACCCTTTTAATTGTATTGTAAATATCATTAGATAAATCAAATTAGATTGAAACAATTAACTCAAAACCAGTGATAATTTCAATTCGGAACAAAAAGTTTCCGATCTGATTAAAAATAATCAAGACAATTAACTAATTATCAACCAAATATTATCAATGTAATTTTATTGCTAATCAATTGTAATCAATAAATTATCTCAATCAACTAATCAAATCATAAGATACACAATTGAACAATTAAAAGCTACAAATTAATATTTGAATACAATCAGCCCATGACATAAGTAATGATACAACAATTAAGTTAATTGTTATAAACAATCATCATCACATCTCAATGTCACCCAAAACAATTACAAAATAGTAAAACTTAACCGTTAATGATAATTAATATTAGCAACCCAACAATTTGTTTTAATAGTAACAATTATCCTGATCACCATCGTCTTAATTGTTTCAAATGCTAACAACAATTAATAAATGAATAGGAAAGTAAAAAAAAAACTACCAAGGCCACAATCTAGAAATGAATACAATACAATCAATGGGAAGTGGAGCCTCTTAATTAACAGTATTAACCCCAAAGGTCCAAAATGAACAATTAACAAGTTCGAGGATCAATTTAAATTGTTAAAGAAAACAACATCTCGTCAATGAGAAAATGGTAATAATTAAATGATTGACTTTCGAAATGGTAAACAAAATGGAAACTAAAAATTGAACCTAACCAAAAGTGCCAAGGTTACAATTAAACACTATCGATGATTGTTGTTGTTATTATCGTAAAGCCAACAGGTAATTTCATCAATCTACCTGAGTATGAATCATACAACTTGAACCGACCCTTTTCCGGTCAAATAAACAAACTAAATTGTTGTCATTTGTTGATAATAATATGATATTAATACAATCGTTTTATCCAACGATTTTTACCTTTACTTTAGCTAAACAACAACAACAAAAAGTAGCGAAAAAGTCAAAATAAAACCTTGAGAAAAAGTCTTACGATCTTAAATTGGCCTTTGTCGTGATAAACAATCAACACTAATCATATAATTAATAGACAATGAATACGGAAAAATATTTTCCCATTAACCATTGATTACAATTGTGTTACAATAAACTTAATTTGCATAATGATAATTTGTTTCCCATTTTGGAAAAGGCAAAAATTTTTCTCAATTGTTATCATTAAACTAATTGTCAACCAATGGATGCATAAAATTTTTTTCTTACTATGTGTCAATTATTAGTATTGGTCAGTTTGCGATAGCTTCATGTCCGGTTGATGTTGTTGGGGATCAAGTGTAAGGTTATCATTAACATTGTGTGTGGTTATGTGAATATTTGAATGTTTTAATAAACCTTAATGATGATAATGGTCAAGCAATATGATTGACCTACTCAATGTGTGTATATATACATGTATGTATATAAGTGGTCAGTGAAATGGTCAATTTATCCTATTGAATATTATACAGATTGATTAGCAAAAAGCTGGAAGCGTTAAAAAGCAATTGAAAATTATAGTATCAAATAATATGATAGTTATTAACCTTATCTTGTATCTTGATTGTTGTTGTTATCATAATTGTTGGTCAAATTGAAGGTTAAATTGTTGCTGTTGTTGTTGTTATTTAGCTTAGTAGTTACTATTTGTTTCTGTTTTGTAGGTCACTTTCAACGATGAAGGAAAAAGTGTTCATCTTTCATCCTCTTCTGGACAAATAGCCAGTGGATCAGGAAGATTATGATGAGCTATAAGAGAGAGAGAGTGAGAGAGAGAGAGATTATGATGATGATGAGGATGATTGAGAGAGAGCAAGAGGATCCACAACGATAATTGTCTCTTTCAATGTATACTTAATACTAACCTTTACCTCTAAAGGCGATATAAGGTCATGCCCTTTAGCACATGAACTTAATACAATAATGAATAGTTAGAAAAATTTTGTTTTTCTTTCTTTTTTCCTCTCAACCTTTTGTATTTGTATTTTCAATCTTCCATCATCATCATCATCATCATAACCCCAAAGGTAATCTATGAGTTTTAATATATGTTTTTTTTAATCTTTTCCTCATCATTAATCCTCATCCTCATCTTTTTACTTATCATCATAACGTTTTTTTTACAACCTAAAAAACAATAAGAAAAATAAATAAATACACTTACGATGATAAAAGAGAAAACTTTTTTACACTTATCGTTTTCTTTACCTTTACGTAAATATTATCTTTGTATCATCATTATCATCATCTTACCTCTTTCTCTATCATCCTAATCATCCTCATCCCTCTCATTATCTTACCTATTGAACTCTACCTTTGTTTAACAAAGCAAACGGTCATTATGATGCTTCATCTTGAACCATTTACCTTTTTTTTTGTTTCCATTTGCTTTGGTTTATTATTTTTCTTTTACTTTTTTCTTGTTTCCTTACCTTTTCCAAAGCTTTTGTTGTTACTCTTGATCGTCATCATCATGATGATATTGACCTAAGGTCATCGCTTAAAAAAGGTGAAATAAGTATCCTCATTTTTCTCACTTTCTTCGTTGGCTCCCTGCTAACACTTAGGCCTTAAAAAGTCAAAGTTAATCAATTGGTTGATCACCATAAGGCTTAAGCCGCATTCTTATGTGTGTGTGTGTATATAAACGTATTAATATTATCATCATTACATTTTGTTTACAGAGAAGAGCCAAAAGTCGTGTACATAGTGATGGTTAAGATGATTATGAAGATGGAGATGAAGATGAGAAGAAGAACCAAATTCTAATAGCAATTTACAAGTCGAAACTGTTACATTGAATTCGAGAGTTAAAAAGTTATATATTTTGTTTTTCCTTTCAGCCTCAAGCCTCAATAACTTTCACATCTCTCACCTTGAGGGTTGTCTTGTTTTCTTAGCATGGGGTCAGTGTGGTTCAATTTTAAAATCAACAACAACAACTGTAACAGTCTCACAATCCTTATCCCCTCGATTTTCAGGTCATCTTCATCAACAGGTAGACAATAATAATAATCTGAGTACAAAATAGTTGCAGTGTTACATTGATTATGTATCAATATAATGTATCGACTTTGCTTCTTGCAAATTAGTTTCAACATTTTTGAAATTTCTTTTCTCGCCTGATAACAATGGTTTACCTGTGGTCAGATTTTTTACCTGTATTTGTCTCTAGGTAATATTTGGATGAATGATCGAGAGGGAGGAATATAATGTATATGTTAAATTACATAGAAAATGCTTCATAAATTAGATGTATTATTATAATCTTGCAATAGAAACTTTAATATAATTTAAATTCAACCACTGATTCTGAGACCATGATAATGATTGAGATGTTAACTCATTCTCGATGCTTGAAACTTTGTATTAGTCATGTTTTTGGCTTTTATATTTATCATTTATTTTAATCCGAATCATCAACAATCAGATTGGTTGATTATCATAGTAGATGGGAAAAAATTACAAAGGTGGAGTCAAAATCTAGAGTGACCTTTGTAAAATTTGACCAATCATGACCATTGGTCATTCACACACAAAAATATTATAGTAAACACAATAATCAATGAAATATAAACTCCAAAGTTTAATTAACATCCAGGAACCAGTGAGATAAATTGAAATAAAAGTGACCAGATAATAAGTAATATCATCTTTACATAATTATCATCATTTATCATCAGTTCCTCATCATCAACTACACATATACACTTTACTTAGTAAATATATATGATATTAGTTTATATTCATTGGAATTGTAATCATGGTAACATTTTAATTGTCCAAAATTTTGGCATTCTAACTCATATATATATATATATATATGAAACCATTTGTACTTTAACATTTCCTATGGTTACCATATATGATTTTGGATGAAAAATAAAACATTATCATCATTAGCTCATTGAACCAAATGATAATCAACACACACACATATTCATGTTTAGTGAATTGCTGTTAATTTAATTAATGTTATCATTGTGTCAATTTGATGTTACATAGAGTAGTTTAATTGTATCATGATTATCAACAATTAAAAGGAGCTGAACAAAAAAAAATGTAATATTAATCGTGGTTCTTGT